TACTTGCAAGAATAAACTATTTCATTTCTATTTCACTCTCGCGCGGGGTTGTGCGCGCGGCTTAATCAGAAACCTGAGCTTGTGAACGGCGAGCGCGCAGCCGAATTAATTGTTTCCATTGTTTGTAACTTATTTCTAACTACAAGTTATTTTAATATATCGTCCACCAAGATACAATAATCAGAATAAAATCCAAGAATTTTTAACCTACTTAGAAAAACTTTTGCAATTATTATCTACTGGTGACAAAGTAATTATATGCGGGGATATAAACATAAATTTGTTAAAAGATACAGATAAATATGTAAAATGTTATGAAGATTTAGTAGCCGAACACAGTTTTACAAAATGTAATGTAGTCGAATCATGTTTTGATCATATATTTATTAAATCATCCTCAGCATTAATCGATTCTGCAGTTATAAAACATAAAATATATGACCATTATTTGGTCGCACATCTGTACTATGGAAACAGACCCCGAATATGTAGCTCACTCGGGCGAGTTGTGTGAATCAGGCACAGCGCCACCGCTGTGTGCTTGACAATAGATTAGTCAGAGAAAAAATATTAGAAACCAACTTCGATCACCTATTAAATATTGATTGCCCATTTAAATTATACGACGAGCTATCTACTTTATTTAGAGACATATACAACCAATGTTATAAAGTAAAAAATATGACTGGTATCCTAGAAATGAAAAGTATTGGTTAAACAATAGCTTAAAAATATGGTTATTGAAAAAGATAGATTATTCAAAATATGGTGTAGTGATCCAAAGAATATGGTAAAAAGACTAACTTATACTAGGTACAGAAACAAATGTCAAAAGGCAATTTTTAAATGTAACGTAGAACATGATAAATAAACAATTTCGAATTGTAATAATAATATTAAAAAGTTTGGGATAAAATTAATGAATTATTGGGTAAAAATAAGCAGTCTTTGGATAATCTAATCTTAAATAACATAAACCACGTCCGAGTTACCACGCTGCAGGCTGCAGGCTGCGGTGTTAGTGATAAAACTGTTTTAATTCACTTGAAGCAAATTGGGAAGATTAAAAAGCTTGAAAGATGGGTACCTCACGAATTGACTGAAGCAAACGCGCGTCGACTGCTGCGTTACATTACTAACCGGCACAATAATGAAGGTATTTTAAACCGAATGATGTGATGAAAATTGGATTCTTTACGATAATCGAAAGCGCTCAGCGCAATGGTTGGATCCTGGCCAGCCAGCCAAATCCTGCCCCAAGCGAAAATTAACCCCAAAAAAGTGACTTGTAAGCGTTTGGTGGACTAGTGCCGGTATTGTTCATTGCAGTTTTCTCAAATCTGGCCAGACTATTACGGCTGATGTCTTTTGTCAGCAATTGCAAACCATGATGGAAAAGCTAGCGGCTAAACAACCTAGGCTGGTCAATCGCTCCACGCCACTGCTACTTCACGACAACGCTAGACCACACACTGCACAACAGACGGGTACCAAATTAGAAGAGCTTCAATTGGAATGTCTAAGACATCCTTACCATAGATTACCATTTTTTTCGAAATTTGGACAACTTCTTGCAAGGGAAAAAATTTAACTCTGATGGGGCAGTCCAAATCGCCTTCACAGATTTTATTGATTCCCGTCCGACTGGTTTTTTTAGTAAAGGGATCAATGAACTACCTATGAGATGGCAAAAGTGCATAGAAAACAATGGTTCATACTTTGATTAATTAAATATATTATATTTAAGAATATTCGACTTTTTGTTCCTCCCATACAAAACGCCAATTTCATATGTAAGGACCTAATATATGTATATATGCATGTCAAATAATAAATGTAGCTACTCCAAACACAATAAGAACTGAATTGAACATTGTTTTGAGTTAATTTCCATGATAAAGATATGTCTTGATGACACACAACGTGAGTACATTGTTAATTGGCCGATTCGTGAAATGAACCAAACAATACCTGATATAAATATCTAGTCTTGTTTACTAGCCATTTGTCTACCATATCCATCATGAGGTCTCAGTTCAAATCCCGGATAAGGCCAAAAAGCTATACGTCAAATATGAGTAAAAACCTCTAAATGTTATTTAACACCTCCAAAAATTAAGTAAAGCTGGAGGTATTTGTCAAAGTCGGAAACACATGAAAACTGATTAGTAATATCTAGACAATATTATTGCTTTTAATATTAATGTAACCTGGTCACTTAGTAAACAAATTGTTTCAGCTACTAAACATACAACTTTAATGAGTTCATTTTAAGACTTTCTAACTTAGATGATCATTAATTGAAAACAACTGTGGATAATATTCCAGTAAAAATACGGAAATAATGTTTATTTTGAATTTAAAAAGCTCGTTTAATGTTGAATAAAGCGAGATAGACTTGCTATGCGTTATCTATACCAGCGTTCCGCTAAAAAGGTAATTAGCGTTTTTCTCGCAATGTATTCGATAAAAACAAAAACACAAATATATGTCTAAGGTGTTTGTATATAAAAAGGGATTTTTTACATACATACATTTCTACTTTCAGGTAAAAGAGCGACTCTCAATAAAAATAAAATAAATCAATGGCGCTACTACCTTTTGAGGTTGAGGCTAGTAGGTGATCAGCCTAGTATGCCTGACCCACGCTGTGGCCTTTTTGGGTCTAGAGCAAGTTCACCGTTCTTTTAAAGCGAATGTTAAATGCGCACATAGAAAAAAGCCCATTGGTGCACAGCCGGGGTTCGATCCTACGACTTCAGTGATAAGATTCGCACGCTGAAGCCATAAGGCCAACACTGCCGCTGTAACTCTCAATAGCGATTCCAATAATGAAGTTAATAATAATTGCCGACCTTGGATTTTCACAATAATTAAAGACACGTGCCGACATCAATTTGCATATGATATGAATAAAATAATAGCTTTTTTCAACCTTTTAATTACATATTCTTAATTATCCTTAGCTAACTTGACGAATATACAATTATTGTATTTTTCAAAATCTATATTTTTATTTGTTTTTGTATTTTAAAACAACATTTGTTGTTTAACGAACAGTTTATTTAATTAAAATAACATTGACTACTTACATATTTTCCTAATCTCCGTTCGGGCCGTTTTTCAAACGTCAATCTATGACAATTGTTAAGCCGAGCGGGAAATTCAAATTATAAATTAAATTTCATTACATAAAAAGTGATAAAGCCGTTCCTAATCATTTATGTTACCTGTTTTTCCATGTACTATTAATGCAACGAAGTGTTAATTAATAAATAAAATAAAATCTTACTGTTTTTCAAACTATCTACAGAAGAATGATGAAACATTATTCCAAGTTTGCTATCCAGCGCTGAACCGACATTTAAAGAACTACATTGAAAATCGCCATTGCATAACATGGCTGAAAATAAATACTAACAAATTATTGAGTCAGTTATTAAAATCGATATTGGTACTAGAGAGTAGACGACGGCCTTTTTGATGTTTTTTCCCTACTTGAAAGTTTGCGCCATTACGTAGAATCTCGGCACGTCGTATATTTCGCGCGAGCATTCCGCTATTGAATGCTGTGGCGCGTCAACACTTGCGCCACACTCCAAGCAGCTCGGTGTTGGCTCCCGCCGAACGATGTAATGCAAGTATCGACCAGAACATTTTGTCCCTACGGAAAAAGGGATTTGAATTTGAGAAATGGATATTGTCTGATGATGTTTTATTCACCAAAGAAAGATCGATCACGAACATCGTATTAAAACGGATGTCGTATAAACAATGTGGTTTGCTCCCATTTTAACCCACAACTACACTATTTTACCCCACAAGAGCAAGCAAGAATCTTTAAAATATAGGTTAAGCGTAGGTGCGCTGAAGAGCCCTCAAAGGTGGTAATAGGCAATCCACTTAAGTCTTTACCAGAGATATCACCTTCTTCATAATTATGATAATAATAATAATATAAAGCCTTGTTTCATTTTTATATCGTTAATTTACATTTCCAATGTTATTGTAACTTTAGTTTACTTATAGCTAAATGTTAGTAGTAAAATATTAGTCGCCTGTGGACATGAGCCTCACTTGTGTAAAGCTCTCCTCCAACCATTTTCAGGCGGTACCCTACTTTATATTTATCACAACAATTTTACGTTAATCGCCATATTAGACTGTCTATTTGGTCGGGTCCTCCCAACCCACCGATAGGCGCAATTGATAGCCGCCGTAATCTACTCTCGAAGACGAAGCCATAAGAGATGTATTTTACATAAATTTACCCCTTTATGATTCCAATTAAAAAATTAATGAGAGTTTTGTAATTTAAATAGTTATTATCACTAACACCTCTCAAATACAATTAAAATAATAATTGATATGGAAAACTCCAAGAATTTGTTAATTAATTTGTTCAAGTAATGTTTATCACGTGAGATACTTTGTATATTGAAAAATCGTCGGCGGGGTTTTGTCCACGTCCTAGACTTGCTGCAGCCACGCTCATGGGCATTACCTAGAGCTACAGGCAATACAGGGCCAAAGTTGAACATTCTGCGCTGAAAACAGTTCCACCTAGTACCTCCTAGGGAGGTTCTAGCTACTCGATGTCCGAAACCGCTGATATTGACAGTGATCGCCACCTGATTGTTGCGGAATTATCCCTTAACTTAAAATTTAAGTTTATTATTTCATACACCTATTTCCTGCGCTTCTTTCTGTTTTTAAATTAAAGCCTGAGCAGACAGAGGCTGGAAATTTCATTCCCTGTGAACATAGCGTTAACTTCCTTTCCTTCTTAAAACATCTTGAAATCTTAATAAGTAACAAACATACAAGTCGTTCAAATTTTTTTAGATATTTCTTAACGATTCAATTAAGTACCAATACTAATTATTTTTTTTCCGTCCTTACCAAAAAGTATGTTTTTGGGTAAGTTTTTATATAAAGTTTAGTATAAATAGACCGCTGAAAATAAGACATGTTACATCGAGGACAGGACTGCAATAAAGATGTTTCTTCATTTTGGAATATTACTTCTTTTGTCCAAAGGAATCTTTGGTAAGATAAACTTTATTTTATTACATCTCTGTTTATACGCAATATTGTCTCACGAACAGTCATTCTTAGCGCTGTCTCGTCAATAATTGTCCCTTATATAAATCCCTATCCAATAGAATACGCTTTTCTCATCACATTAATTTTGCACAAAAGTGTTCGTAGCATCGTTTGATTTGCTCAGAAGATATCACCGCTTTAAAATATTTGCAACTCAGATAAAGGCGCACGAACCGCGCGGAACATGTAGCCATAAAATTAAGTATGTTCACAGGCGAAGTGGACGTTTCGGAAGCTATAGATGGAGACAGCCGAATAATAGGTGGCCAAGATGCCACTCCAGGCATGGCTAAGTACCAAGTTTCAATTCGTGTTCAAAAGGAAATCAAGATTTGCACAATTGCGGGGGATCTATTATAAATCAACAGTACGTCTTAACTGCCGCGCATTGCATTGTTGGGTGAGTACAATTTTTCATTCCTATTTAAATTTCATTTAGTTATATTCGATAGCTAAAATATTACACATGTACTTGCTTCCTCACACCGAGTCGTGATGATCCCGAACCTGTTGTTGCAGATGACGACAAGCCGTTTCCATTTACTTCTACTTTAATAATTTAAAATGTGTTTAAGTCATCATTTCAAGTGGGACGACGAACTTTAATGATGATATACTTATAATAACTTATAGGTGGCGTCCCAACGTGGTGTCTATAGTAGTTGGCAGTCACCAGATCAAATCAGGTGGCCAGCGTTACAAGGTTAAGAAATTGATGCCTCATGAGCAGTTTTCAAAGGCCACAGCGAAGAATGACGTAGGCGTCATACAAGTCGAAGGCAACATCCAATTCAACGACAATGTTCAACCAATTGAGTTGTTCACACAAACGGTACCCATGGGAAGGAAATGTCTTTTGACCGGTTGGGGAACAATAGACTACGTGAGTATATAAATTTTATCATATTCTTTCAACAAGAGACAACTTTTCTCCGGAAATCGTAAAAAACGTCTTTTAGCCTAGTAACCATACACATTGTTTCGCGCTAAGGGATCGGATCGAGTCATTAGTTACTTAAATTTACGCGCACTTAACATTCTGTTAACTCTTCGCTGCTTATCTCACTATTTAATTGCACAGTAAATATAAAAATATACTTATAAATGCACATAAACGTTTTCGCGCATTGTTCGCCCTAAGGACCACAGCACAGCTCGGGCTGTTTTGGCGAGCGTAGCTCGACCGGAATGGGCTTTTTCCCGCGACTAGCGCAAGCTTCTGCGAAACTCGGACCTCGGCTTGGGCCTTCGCTGGGTGGTCAATCACCTGAAGGGCAGGACGGAAGCTCACTTGAGTGAGCGAAGTACAAAGTAAAGATGCCTTCCCCGGCGAAGGCGGTTTTTTACCCTAATCTGGTTTTCATTTTACTTTGCCGCGTGGGCGGCGCATTGACTGATCGCATTTTGGCCTTATTATATATCACTGGTAATAATCATGAACGATATTCGAGAACTTTCTGGGTAGAAGTGTTACTGAGTAGTTGGTATTCTATGTTTAACGCATAATTTCAGAACGTACGTGCTCGTTATCTCTCTCGTACATTTCTTCCATCCTAATAATACATTTTGGTTTATTTTACAGAAAAAGAACATTTCTCCGAACAATCTTCAAATGCTGTACTTCGAAACTATAAATACTAACCTGTGCACTCAAAAATTGAATAAAAAAGCGGCTTATCGGGCGGCTTTGCCCTTGAATGATGGACAACTCTGCGGTAAGCGCCCGAACCACAAAGGCACATGCCAAGTAAGTAAATTAACACATATTCTTACTACAACATATTTTCATAAGACCCAAATGGTCCCTGCGATTTTTTTTTATAGAACGGGGGGCAAAAGGGCAGGAGGCTCACCTGATGTTAAGAGATACCGCCGTCCATGGAAATTCTCACGAGGCAACGCACTCACGAGCCCTCTGTCATTGAGAGTGTCCATGGGCGGCGGTATCACTTAACATCAGGTGAGCCTCCTGCTCTTTGCCCCCGTTCTATAAAAAAAAATGTTAAAAGAGCGTGAAGAAGAAGACATGAAAAATATAAATATGTTTATTATGGAACATAAGATACATGTATCACTTATTCCACGTCATTAAATTTGAAGGCATCCCTACTCATCGGCAAAGAAGACAGAGGGTGTAGGCCGAGAGAAAAAGCCGGCGTAAAAAACTCTCGGTACTCTTTTAAAACAGCAAATCATCAAACAACACTTATTTAAAACAAATATCGCAAATTGATTAGAAGTAGCCTGTCTAGCACTAGTCCCAGGCCCTTTTATCAACTAGATAATCGTTGACTTTATAGTAAGCCTTTTTACACAGCTTTTCTTTAATACATTTTTTAAATTTATTGAAAGGCAGTGATAAAAGAGCCTCTGGGATTTTATTAAAGAAGAGTATCCCTTTCCCCAAAAAAAGAATTACTAACTTTAGATAGTCTAGTACGGGGAAATTGCAGCCTGCGTTTGTTCCGTGTATTAACATTGTGCGTATGTTCTATTCTAGTAAACTTATCACTATTTTTGTATACATACATAATATTTTCATAAATATATTGCGAGGGAAAGGTAAGTATATTAATTTCCTTGAATTTATCTCTAAGAGATTCCCTACATTTTAAATTATAGATTGCACGAATAGCCCTCTTCTGCAGGATGAAAATAGTTTCGACATCAGCAGCATGACCCCATAATAATAAGCCATAAGTCATTAAGCTATGAAAGTAACTAAAATAAACAAGTCTAGCTGTATCGACATCAGTTAGTGAGCGAATTTTTTTAACCGCGTAGGCTGCAGAACTAAGTCTCTTCGCCAATCCGTTAATATGAGGGGACCACTGAAGTTTTGAATCCATGGTGATTCCGAGAAATACAGTTGTATCATCCAGATTCAATTCCTCACCGTTTATAATTGGTCTAGTATCCATAACCCTTGCATTTTTTGCACAAAATTTAATGCATTTTGTCTTTTTTGCATTAAGTAGAAGGTTATTCATACTAAACCAATGGACAATCGAAGACAGAGCATTGTTCACATCGTCAAAATTTGTTATTTGTCGTTTGATTTTAAAAATCAAGGACGTGTCATCAGCAAACAAAACTATCTGATGTTTTCTCTCTACCATGAAAGGTAGATCATTTATATAAACAAGAAAGAGGAAAGGGCCAAGAATTGAGCCCTGTGGTACCCCCATATCTACTGCCGACCCAGAGGACCTCTTACCATTCACTTCAACCTTCTGAGTTCTTCCGTGTAAATAGGAAGTCAGAAGATTCAGTGCGGTATTCTTGATGCCATAGTGGCGGAGTTTCCCGATTAAGGTCTCGTGTTGGACACAATCAAATGCTTTGGATAAGTCGCAGAAAACACCTAAAGCGTCATGCGACTCCTCCCAAGCCTTAACTATATATCTATATAACTCAACACCGGCATCGGCTGTCGAGCGACCCTTGGTAAAACCGAACTGATTATTATGTAATAATTTGTTTACGTTAAAATGACTTACCAGTTGATTTAATATAATTTTTTCAAATATTTTACTACAAGTAGGTAGTACGGAAATTGGTCTAAAGTTACTGGGGTCGGACATACTACCTGCTTTAAATAAAGGAATAACTTTACTATGTTTCATTAGATCGGGAAACTCGCCACTTTTAATACAATTGTTGAAAATTATAGCTAGATGGGGAGCAATTACATCAATTATGCTACTAATTATTTTTACAGAAATACCCCAAAGATCGGTAGTGTTCTTAATATCTATGGTTCTAAATATCCTCACTATATCGTCGGCACCAATGGGTCGGAATGAAAAACTGACCTTGCACTCGTTTACATTATCTTTGAGCAGCGATTCGGCGAGGGCGGGAGATGATTGAAGAGACTTAGTAGTCGAAATTGGAATGTCAGAAAAGTACTTATCAAAAACAATCGCTATCTCTTCGTTAGATTTGATTATAGTGTTATCGACACATAGTTCGATGTCTTGATTGCGATCCCTGACTCTTCCAGTTTCACTATCAATTATCTTCCAAGTCATTTTAGTTTTATTGGTACATGTTCTAGGAACAGAAGACCGATCACCTACATGCATGTTATTATACTTTAATTCTTATTAAATTTCTCTCGCAGGGTGATTCCGGTGGGCCCCTCGTTTTTGAAGAGGGTAGCAAATATACTCAAGTAGGAATCGTGTCCTGGGGAATTCCCTGCGGCGAAGACTATCCCGATGTATTTGCTTCAGTCCCTGGTAACTACGCTTGGATACAGAGCAAAATTAAGTGATTAAATTCATAAATATTCAACATTGTAACATCTGATCGAAATAAATATCATTTGAAATAAAATTATATTTTATTCTATCCAAAATTTTCTTGATACAATTATAATATCTAACACCTTGTTTAAAAAATCAATTTAAAAAAAGTACATTGCAAAGGAGAAACTACGAGCATAGCATTAAAATGGCAACCAAACTCTTATAAATATACTTATAAATTTTTAAAAATACGTACTCATATTTTATAACTTAACTCGAACAAACTTTTCACAGAGCAATGGCTCAATATGTATATAATAATAACTATATTATATACCTAATAATACGGAAGCAGTGATTTTACTAGTCTTCTAATGGAATTCGAAACTATTTCTGACATGTAACAAGTGCAAGCAATAACGAGCCCAGAGGTTATTCATTCGTGACAGTAAACTCCGCTCGGAGTGAACGTAAATGAAAAAAAGTTTCACTTCAACAAAAATAGCTGTCAAATAAATCCCGGGTGTATCACCGAAATCGTGGACTTCAAATAAATCGAAGCTAACAATACAAAGAGTACCAAACGCACCCGCTCGCTATTGCTAGACTATTCCTAATAGGTCATATCTATACGAGACCATAACGACAATATTAGGTCTTAACAGGATTAGAAACAGACTGTTCGTGGCATTTACTACTTGGCGTGGCACTACGAGGGCTGCACTAAAAGTATCGGGAATGGAATAATACCACTGTTCCTGTCATATTTAAATCTTTTTAATTGAAAACTCTTGGGTTTTAAAAATCGAATACTTTTTTTTTTTAAAGATTCTCGGTCTTGTCACAAAGTTTTGTCAAACTTATTTAGTCGTTGAGAAAATGGAATTGACTCGAGAAAATTCAAGAGCGATGATTTATTATGACTTTCGAAGTGATTTATCACAAAAACAGTGTTGACCGGATGATTTCTGCATTTGGTGATGAAGCCCCATCCAAAACCACAAGTCACCCGAGAAAACGTTGATGCTGTGCGTAAGCTGATTGAGGAAGATCGATTCGCTTTTGACGGTGTCTCGGAAGTGTTCTTCAAAAAACAATTAGTCTTTTTTACTGTGATAAAACGCGAGTAAAACCATTTTTATTTGGTCTTTGGTGAGTTTGACACCATTTTAGGCGAGATTTCAGTATTTTTCTACAAAAATAACAAAAATTTCTTTATTAAGTTATTATTAAGCCTTTATTGCTGACACCCAGTACAATATAATTACACCTATATAAGTGACATAAAAAACTTAATTCTAAAACATAAATAAAACTTAAACTTATACGTCACTTGACCCGTTGAAGGTAGTCAGCGTGTCCTGTGACACATAGGCCTCTTCCAGCTGTTTCCATTTTTTTCTGATGTTAGCTCTTCTTGTCCAAGTTGTGCCTCCTATTCTCTTTATATCGTCTGCCCATCTGTTGCTCTGTCTTCCTCTTTTCCTTTTTCCATCGCGGAATTGCCATTCTGTAATGTATTTTTGTCCATTTCAACCTGCTATCTCTTGTCATGTGCCCGGTCCAGCGCCATTTCAATTGCCTTATTTTCTTTATAATGTCTTCTACTTTGGTCGCTGATCTTATCTCTTCTGCTCTTTTTCGATGTCTCAGTGTTACACCCACCATGCTTCTTTCCATTCCTCTTTGGCATGTTCTTCATTCATTCATTTTAGTACATCCCTTTTAAGTTCGAGAACCTTTGTTAGGGATGAACGCTCTTTCCTATATGTTAATACTTAATCTACTTAACAAAGCAAAACAGTGTAGGTACTTAAATAGTTAATTAATTAAATTACATACTTTAAAAATCAAACTTCTGGCGATTATTGATATTAAATCGTAATAACTGAACAAGTGAGGTAGATAAAAATCAATCGCACCATCGTCTTTTTTTGATTGAGTGTGTGAGACATGAGTATAATTTTATTGTAGTTGCAACTCAGACGAGTGTAGTCCGTATGTCGTGACCAGTGCAGGTTAGCATGTCTCATATCAGCCGGATGATGCGACCACATAAACTATAGACTACTTTAAATAATTATAAATGTTTTATGCGGGAAGAAATCTATCTGAAACGAATGCCTACCATATTATAATACTACATAATACCTAATTAATATTGAACAATATACATAATAAAATAAGGTATAATAAATATGTAAGTACGAATAATTAGCACATGCTTTTTTTTTTTTAAATCAACTCCACGAGTATATCAAATATAATATACGTGTCATGGTCACATATTATATAATACATATAATAAAAATGATATTAAGTACATAAAGTGTACCTATAATAAAAAAAAATATCTATCCTTTTAATTTTAATATCATGTTATGTTTGTGTTATTATTAACTAAGTAAGTATTTTATATTAAATATTTTTAATCCGAGCTATCGTTATCTAAAGTATATTTATTTATATATATTAGGTCCTTACACATGAAATTGGCGTTTTGTATGGGAGGAACAAAAAGTCGAATATTTTTAAATATAATATATTTAATTAATCAAAGTATGAACCATTGTTTTCTATGCACTTTTGCCATCTCATAGGTAGTTCATTGATTCCTTTACTAAAAAAACCAGTCGGACGGGAATCAATAAAATCTGTGAAGGCGATTTGGACTGCCCCATCAGAGTTAAATTTTTTCCCTTGCAAGAAGTTGTCCAAATTTCGAAAAAAAATGATAATCTGTTGGAGCAAGGTCCGGGGAGTACGGAGGATGTCTTAGACATTCCAATTGAAGCTCTTCTAATTTGGTAGCCGTCTGTTGTGCAGTGTGTGGTCTAGCGTTGTCGTGAAGTAGCAGTGGCGTGGAGCGATTGACCAGCCTAGGTTGTTTAGCCGCTAGCTTTTCCATCATGGTTTGCAATTGCTGATAATAGACATCAGCCGTAATTGTCTGGCCAGATTTGAGAAAACTGCAATGAACAATACCGGCACTAGTCCACCAAACGCTTACAAGTAACTTTTTGGGGTTAATTTTCGCTTCGGGCAGGATTTGGCTGGCTGGCCTGGATCCAACCATTGCGCTGAGCGCTTCCGATTATCGTAAAGAATCCATTTTTCATCTCAGGTAATGATTCGGTTTAAAATACCTTCATTATTGTGCCGGTTCAGTAATGTAACGCAGCAGTCGACGCGCTATTGCCGGTTTGCTTCAGTCAATTCGTGAGGTACCCATCTTTCAAGCTTTTAATCTTCCCAATTTGCTTCAAGTGAATTAAAACAGTTTTATCACTAACACCGCAGCCTGCAGCTAACTCGGACGTGGTTTGCGATGGATCCGCTTCCACAATAGCCTTCAATACTTCATTATCAACTTGGGTCTCAGGCCGTCCACGGGGCTTGTTCTGCAGGTCGAAATTTCCAGAACGAAAACGTTGGAACCAAAAACGAACTGTGTTTTATTTTGCAACATGACCGCCATACACATCATTCACCCTTCGAGTCGTTTCCGCAGCACTAGTGCCACGGCGGAACTCGTACTCGTAAATAATGCGATACTTTAAGTTTTCCATTTTGTAAAATGAGTGACGCAAACAGAAAAAAACAGCAGAAAAAAACAAATGAATGACGGTCATCGAAGCACAAATACATGAGTAAAAAGCTGTACAAATTTGAATTTGGAATTCCTTACCAAAGAGGAGAACATCGTGATTAAAGTGGCCAGTACGAAATAATTCTTAATTAATCCTTAATTTATGTTTTCTTTAAACATTGATTTTGAGTTTATGCTAGATTCACTATACTTACTGTGTTTAATGAGATTACTTTAGGATAATGGACTGATGAGGCGATCATATTCATATACGAGATATAAACGAAAATAACTGTTGAATGTTTAATCCTTATTTAGTCTAATGTGAGTCTTCCGCTAGTTCTGATATATGATCTGTTGTTTTCTACTGACGGTTAATAATTTTTTTTTTATTTTGTCAATATTATCGTCACATACAAAATGTTGTCCCGGCCGTGTCTCTTTGTTTACAAACGCGATAAACTTAAAAAGGACGGAACGGATTTTTGTTGAGTTTCCACCAATAGATAGTTTCTAAAGAGGTTGTTTATTGTTGGTTTTATTTACATTGGATGAAATGTTTTATTTTAATCTGTATTTAATTTAATTCTAGGGCTACACACCGAAATTCGCCACAAGGCCTTTTAATAGAAGCGGCCGCGATCACGTCCGTGATCGCACGAACGTCAGACCGGGAAGTGTTCAGCGCTATCCAATCAGACACAGCCTTGCAGAGATCTGGTGCTGCCTTGCAGCGGGTACATGCATTGATGCTGACACTATTGGCCAGGTTCCACGTGCCACCAGCCGATATAGACTCGAGTGATGATTGCACTCTGTATTATAAAGTAAGGTTTTAGCTTTATCTTAGTTTTGCTTCTATTGGATGTGAACGCATGTTTAATTAACAATATTTTCTTTAACTTGTTTTATCTATTTCATAATTTAAATGTAATAATTAATATGTAATATTTTTATAATAATTACTAGCTGACCCGGCGAACTTCGTACCGCCTTAGTGTAGCTTTGATGCACTACTTTATTTTGTACTAGCTGACCCGGCGAACTTCGTACCGCCTTAGTGTAGCTTTGATGCACTACTTTATTTTGTATAGCTGACCTATCTTATGTATGAGTACCTATTCAATTTAAACTGGAATCTTTAATATCCTCCATATAAAAATGAATCCCTATTTCCCTGGTCTCGCCATACCTGAGAAGGACTTACTTACAAATTTTATTAAATAAAAAACAAAATATATTTTTTCATAATAGTGTTTATTTCATATTGTTCAATAATTTCACTTACACGCTTTACGCTATTGAACAACTTGGCATTTTGAAGTAAACATTGAGCTTGACACCACGCGCGCTCTAGAAAGCAACTAATACCCTTCACTGTTTCTCTCTATTCTAATGCTTTTTGATAAACTATATTTTTAGTTTTATGTTCTGGTGCGTAAATAAATAATAATGGATTTCCGACACGGGAACAGGCGACATATAATTGGCCATGTGAAAAACATGGATTTTCTAGGTTGATGCCACATACACTTAGCGACTGCCCTTGCGATTTATTTATTGACATTGCAAATGCAAGCCGCACTGGAAACTGTAAACGTTTAAAACTGAATGCCATGTCGTTCGGTATCATAGGGATGCGTGGGATTAAAACATCTTCGCCTTTGTACTTCCCTTTCAAAATTGTGGCTTCGATGACGTTGTTCAATAATTTCTTCACCGCAAGCCGTTACACAGACGTGGCTGGTTTATGTTCCGTAACATAATAATTACTGATCCGATTTTTAATTGCAGATTATGAGGTGGTAAGCCGGGCAATTCCAGCGAATTTAAAAATTCTGTTGGATAATTGACAACTTCATCTTCATTAGTAATGGAATCTACTGATTTGTAATTCTTCAATTCGCCAGCTATTTTCTCTTGAATCTGAAAATTCATTTCATTCGCATCAACATTTTTTGCGGCCAATATAACACGTTCGCTTAACCAAACGTGATTTACGTAATTTTGAGCAATGTTTGGGAAAACCATCTCCATGAGTTCAGTCTTTGATTCACAAAAGTTACAAAAATTGGTAGGGAATGTAATGTATCCACATGATGTATCAACAGCAATAATACCATTACCAATGTCGAGCAGTTGTTTGGAAAAGACTTCTCCAGACTGGTCTTCCTGCAATTCGACTCTCATGTTTATACTCAATTTAAGTGTTTTAATGTATTTCCATAAAATGGACGACTTCAAACATGCATTCAGTTCATCAGCTGGCGTTGAGCGTGGAACAACTGGCAATATTTGTCGAAAATCACCTGCCAATAGTATCATTGCACCACCAAACAGGTTTTTGTTATTTCGTAAATCTTGCATCGAGCGATCTAATGCCTCCAAAGATCTTTTGTGTGCCATCGTACATTCATCCCAAATGATCAATCTGGTTTGCTGCAGCACTTTGGCCATCGCAGAATTCCTCGAAAGGTTGCAAGTTGGAGTTTCATTAATTTGAAGGTTCAACGGCAGCTTGAGAGCTGAATGAGCTGTTCGACCGCCTTCCAACAACGTAGCTGCAATACCTGATGAAGCTAGGGCTAGTGCAATTCCATTTTGCGATCGAATCGTTGCCAAAATCAATGATAACAAAAAAGTTTTCCCAGTTCCTCCGGGAGCATCTAAAAAATAAAATCCGCCAGTTCCATCGTTCACTACTTTCATGAGCGTATCGTAGGCATATTTTTGTTGTTGATTTAAAAGGGGAACTGTTCTATCAACCATTTCTCGTAATGTTTCGGAATCGTATTGGGCTTCGCGTCTCAATTCTTGATCAAATGGGTCGTGCATTGGGCGATTGGGTGCTATCATTCCTATTTGTGTTAATAATTTGTTGGTAAGCATCAAGCACATGTCCTCAATTAAAATTAATGCTTCATTGTGAATTTCTTCGTTCATTTGCAAATCTGCATTCGATGTTCTAAGACGCATCTGATGCAATATATCTTCCGCCATATGATCTTTGTATTTATGCCATAAATCAGTCGGTGTTGATGGGAAGCATGTAGACAAAATTATAGAAAATAATGTTCGTATTTGTTTAGCATTTGACGAAATCACAGCATCTTCGAGAGTGTGGTCCCAATGAGTGTCATTCTCTAACAATCCCAAATGTTGACAGGCTTCTCTGTATGTGCCACACAATACACCATTAATAGTTCGCAGATGTTTGAATGATGTTGGACCACGAACATTGACTAACAGTAAACGCAAATAAAAACACTCGTCTTGACTGGGATGGACTGCATAAAGACGACCTAGTGCATCGGTGGAAAATACTCGTGGGTAACCTGGAACTGGCTGTCCTCGTTTTCGTCGTTGAAATTGTTTTGATGATTGATTCCAGGTATAATATCTTGGCATTTCGGAGTAAAGTAGCGTTCTGGCAAAATCGTCATTCTGGCACATTTCAAAGAAGCTGGTTAATGTTGTCGATGGTGGCCTGTCAACTCGTTGTAATACGTTTGCATCTGTAAAATACACCCGTTGACCATTTTCCAAATGTACGGCCAAGTGAACAACAGTAGGGTGTCGTTCATGTATAGGAAACGAAAATATACGCCACATGCCTTCGTTACTACTAACATAGCGGCCCATTTGATATTGAGTGACTTCATCATTTGAATTTTCAGCAGCAACTCCGAAGACAGCCATGTCACTACCTTTGTTCACATACTTGCAAATGTATTTGATAGATTTTACGGAATGGCAAAATTCTACGTTTATGTGTGCTTTATATGCCTTGCAGAGTAATGGCGAAAACGGAACAACCCAACAATTATCAATTTCAATGTCCTGTCGATTTACTTTGACTATTGTTGACTTTCCATTGTCCTCAATGGATCGGCGGCGATAAAGTGGATATCCATCATTTCCAGTAATAGTTTCTGCTACTAATTGTCTTGGGTAGCGTTTTGAACATTTTCCTTCAACCATACACGGAGAAATGGGATTTAATATTCCACATGGACCATGTATCATATTTTTTGTTATAACCTCATGTAATAGTGGGTCTTCATTATTATCGGGAATTTCTGCTGATATCACATTATCAATTTCATTCGGTCTTATCCTCTCAACCAACCAAATGAGGATATGTGCATGTGGCAATCCGCGTTTTTGCCACTCAACTGAGTACATCCAACAGCGCGTCTCGCCGAACACGCGATGCTTAACAATAAAATCCATGAGTGATTTTAATTTCATTTTGAACACCCTTGCAGTGATATCGTGGCGATCAATAGGTGATTGGCTATTAAATAATTCTTTTTGAATTTCTGTCCACTTTGGATTGCATGTGAACGTGATAAACAAATCTGGTGTGCCATAATGTCGTACATAGGACATAGCATCTTGAGCATATTCATGCATATGTCGCGGACTTCCGACGTATGTTGCTGGGAGAATAGTTTTTCTGCCAACATTCTGTGCATTTCCATCAGCATTAATGGCATCCCGAAGATGAATGTATTCCTCGGGACGGAGTTTTGCCTGGTTTAACCTGATAAATATCAATCGTTCAGTTTCAACTTTCACATACATATCCACAGCATATTGGTGAAATAGACGCCGACACTTTAAGATGTGATTGTCCTCATTTTCCCGAACCCATCAGTCTGTATGAATAATAATTCATTGAACTAACTTTTTTGTTCGTTTCAGCACCTGTAAAGAATTTTTTGCGTTAATAATATAAATTTTAAGTTAGTAAACATATATTTTAATGTAGTAAACATATATTGTTAATTAATTTACCTGTAACTGGATTTATCATCTTAATTGAAAAATGATAGCCGTCTTCACCTTGCCAAAATAGAATAGGATATTGTAAGGCATCATATGATCGATGTGTTTCAGACACACGCTGAAGTTGATCGTTCCGCCGATGTAAAACAATGTCTCGGGTTTCAACATTTTCGCCCACGACGACAATAGCCACTTCATCAATTGTTGGCGCATTAAAACGTCCAGCATGTTGTCCTGCAGGCGCCTTATCGGCTCTAATTCATTGTGTTGATGGAAAAATGTTTGAAGTTGTTCCACAATGGATCTTTTCACTGAGTTGTTGTGTGTGCAACGCTGATCGACATCTCTTACTGAATTGCCCATAAAATATATTTGCAAAAATTTATAGTCTTCATCAGGAATTGGCAATAAGGAACCTGTTCGATGATATATTTGACCCTGAATCTGCAAGAATATAAATATTTATTTAGGTAATTGTATATAGCAAATTGTGTGTACCACCATGTGGCTCGCAAAATACTGCCACAATACTTTACAACTTTAATTCATTTCAAATTAAAACTACTTTAAACCTCGACATTGAACAGCAGCCTTCCATGGCAGCTTTAAGTAGTAGGCTTTTCCAATTATTGGAACACCTTGCTCATGCCATTATGAAATACAACATGTTATAAAATGTTGCTGATTAAGTCATTGGGTTATTGACTATTATTATGTATTTGACTTATTGTTTACAAATTAAACACATCTACACAACACTGGCTCATCATTTTTTGCACCAGCTACATGGTTGTAAAACTAAATGAAATTGTTTGCCATTATACTTACTTACCTTGAAAGTAGGCATATAATTGTCTCGAATAACTTTTGTTGCGCCAAATGATGTCATTTGAAAGCAATTATTGTATTGCTGAATATGAGTCAAAAAATGATTAGAATCTGGCCCATTTCCGGAAACCAATGAATGTAGGGGCTCTGGTGGTGGTACCAATGGCGTTAATTTGACTTGACCGCTGGCGCAACACAATCCATGGGCTTCATTTTTGAATTTCAATGCATTGCAATGTGGACACACAATATTCATTAGTCCAATAGCAACAATTCGCTCTGAACTGTAATCAATTGCCATATTATAACTGAATGCAGCTCTGTGGGGATTAAACACAACATTTCTATGTTGATTTCGATTTCGTTGAAGTTCATTTCGCGCTTCGCGTTGCTCATCAGCTTGATTTGCTCTTATATTTCTTTGACTTGCCGTATTTCGAGTTCTGCGGCCTAAGTTTGTACGTCTGGTTGGTGGCATTGTTAAAAACGAAAATCCAACTGAAAATAAAAAGATCTCATAGGTATATTTTCTGTATAAATTGTAAAATTGTGTAGTCACCAAAAGTTACCAAAAATCGATATGAAGTGAATTGAACTTACCGTGATTAACAAACACTTATTAGCAAACAGAAAAACTTACAAAACGAAATTTATCAAAAATTTAATAAAATTATTGTAATATGGATGATGTGTTGTCACAGATTTTGTGACAGAATTTTTAATTTTTTATTGAATGAGGTTGACATTCGTTAGGTGCGTTTTTAAAATATGCAAAATTAAATGTATATTTTTTCAATATTTCTGAGAGATTTTCTTAATTTTTCTCTCCGTAAGAACCATCCTCGTACTTCAAGGAATATTATAAAAAAAAATCAGACAAATCGGTCAAGCCGTTTTCATGTTATGCCGTGACAACGGAAAACGGGTTTCATTTTTATATATATAAATTAAGCACCGGTGGCAATATTTGATTTCTGTTTAAGCAAGTTCAGCCTCATTGAGTATTACACAATGTGTTTATGTAAAGTTATTACTTTTACGGTAGAGTATAGGTTAAATAATATAAGGCGATTCGCCACTCACACAGAATAATATTTAATTTGAGCACTTATTGATAATTTTGTTTTCCTTCACGTTCATCAAATTCGCGTGTAAAACAAAATAAAAATAAGTTCTGTATTTGAACCTAAAAAGTTCAAGTGGACTAGCTTCAGGCGGAAAAAACAAAATCTTGGTGTAAATACTTTTTGTCTATTGTGGAACAATGTCAGTAAATTGCGATTTTAACAAGGTAAAAAACTCCGCATAGAACTCATTAGGGTCCCAATTATTATTAAAGTTTTGAACACCCAATTTACTGGGCAAGGTATTATTTAATTTCTCTAAATTTTTACATGTAATTGGCCTATACCTTATTTAAATTTTTTTTACAGGTATGTAGGCACAAAACGTCATTTTTTGTCCACTGTGATCAGAAGGCAATTTATTAACAATCTCTTTATGTAAGTAATCACAATTACAAAAAATAAGAACAAGAAGCTGTCACTCTAGTTGGTTCCATAAAAACATTAGACAGATTAAATGATTTAAAAAGACTTATTAATCTGATACTATTTGAGTTTGTTTCTAATCAGTTAATATTAAAATCACCACTTATGATGATTGATTTACTACTAAGTACTAAGTTTTTTTAACACATCTTCCATTTCAGAATTAAATACAGATAGATTCTGATAACCCGGAGGTCTGTAAACACATACTACAACCTTTCGGTTTATTAAAACATGTTAAATTGTCGAATGTGTGTATGAGATGGCAACCGGTCTATAGCAAGGATATAAAACTAATAATTGATAAAATGAATAAAATAATTCACCGGGCAGTGATCTTATACTCATGTCCGATTGAAACTTAATTGTTGATAAGATTAGCCCTGTAAAATATCACAAATTTCCACAAAAATTAAAGGAAGCAATCATTCGTCCGTCCGGGTAAAGTATTTTCGAATTAAAGACCAATAGCTATACTATCAAGTATTGATAAAATTATGGAAAAATGTGTTGTCAATCAAATAGGAACTTTTTTACAAAAAAATAATTCTTAACGGAATGTCAACATGGCTTCCAGAAAAATAAAAGCACCAACACCTTATTATCAAATTTTACAGACTAAATTAATGCACATTTGGAAAATAAAAAAAATATTGTAGCTATTTTTTATGATTTTAAGAAGGCTTTTGATACCTTAAATACTGAGAACCTCTTAAAAGGAATGGAGGAGTACGGCCTAGGGCAGCCACAGAACCCTTGGTTCAGCGACTTTCTCACAGCGCGATCTTACCGTGTGAAAGTCGGCGACGCATTCAGTGAGGAGAAACAAGTAAACTGCGGCGTCCCCCAGGGTTCTGGGTGTGGGCCACTGTGCTACCTGATGTATGTAAATAGCCTCTGTGTAAGTATTGCGTCACTGCTCGGCCCACATGTTTGCTGATGACCTTTGTACTCTGAGCGCTAGTACCGACCTCGCGGAGATGTGTCGCCGGGTTCAAGAGGATGTGGATGCGATAGTTAAATGGTCACATGATAACGACATCATATTAAACGCTGACAAAACAAAGATGATAATTATTCACTCCCCGTATTTAAATTCTATTGATAATCCGCCTCCTCTTATTGCGGCTTTGATTGCTTCCATAACAAGAAAATTAACTGCACGTGTAAACCTATCGAAAAAGTTAATTGTGTAAATTACCTAGGAGTAAAAATAGATACCTCTTTTTCTTGGGATTCCCATATTGATTTTTTGTGTAAAAAACTAAGAATACTATTAGAAAAGTTTTACCATTTACGTACTAAACTCTCATTGCAAGTACTAAAATGTTTATATTTTGCACTTGTTGATTCCATAATAGGTTACGCTCTTGATTGCTATGGGTTAACATTTAAAACATACGTTGATAAAGTAGAATCATTACAAACAAGATTTTTAAAATTATTATTAAATAGAAAGACAAGGAATCAATGTAAAGGAGATTAATATAAACTATTAAAAATATGTTAAATTTTACCGGCTAACCTGAAACATAAATTTCTTGTACTTGTTAATAACCATAGTACGCAGCGTTCAAGTATTACGTCACGCAATTTTTGTAGATTATTTACCTCCCCCCATGTAACGCGCCGTAACGTTTTTCTACAGTACTGTACCCAAGTATAGTAAAACGTTTCGTGACCACCCAGTGACACTTTATACCTAAAAGTTACCATTATGTGGTGTAAAGTACTGGAAAGTCGCCTTGCATCGTAACGAAAACGACCTAATTTAGTGATTTAGAAGTTATGTTTATTTAAGGCGAGTTACCTGCAGTCAAACTGCGTAAGCAGTTTTGCGGGGCATGGTTTGTATTAAGGTGTAACTTTTTTTAGAATAAATATATAATAAAATAATAATTAAAAAATTAATGAGAACTTTGTAATTTAAATAGTTATGATCACTAACACCTCTCAAATACAATTAAAATACTAATTGCTACGGAAAAATCCAAGAAAGTTAATTAATTTGTTCAAGTATCTAATGTTTATCACGCGAAGAATTTTGTACATGTAAGGAAAACATAATATATTTTCCTATATAAACTCTTTTGTTATGTTGTCTTTGCTAATCTTTATTCTATTGTTTAAATGATGTCACTTGACATAATATATGTAAGATATTTTTTTTTTCATTATATTATTTTACTTTATAAAACCTAGAATAATATAGACTTTAAATGTTGTTTCTTTTGTATTCACAGAGAAACGCAGTTGCGCCTTATTTATTCCCAGTATAAGCGATAGATACTATTATAAAACAACATTTTCTGCACATATTTCACGAAATATGGAAAGATTGAGGTATGATTTTTAGATCATTTGCATAGACACGATCGCTACAACTGGTGGACAGGTTTTTGCAATTCCGGCCGAGTTTCAGCCTGCAAATTTACACCAAACTGTAATAAAAAGACTTTTAAAAATCGTCGGCTGGGTTATGTAGTTTAACATTATTCTAAGCAAATCCCAGCCAGCCGCGTCATCCACGGCCTAGGCTTGGACCTGCAGCAGCCACGCTTACCTACAGCTGCAAGCGATACAGGGCAAAAGGTGAACATTCTGCGCCGCAAAATATACTGCTCAAAACAATTAGCGGAACAAGATTTTTCTCCTTTCTATTGCTTAAACTAAAATTAGATTTAAATTAACTTGTACGCTATTTTTTACCTTGTTAATTTGTTAATTACTACAATTAATAAAAAAATTCAATTTGTATTTTTTTTATTAAAAAAAAATTAAAATGTGCATTGTAGACGAAAAACTAATTGGTGATAAAAAAGGTCCATCAAATAAATATTCTTATATCGTTTGAATATTCGTCTTTAGTGACTTTCAGTAACGTGTGTGGCCTCCATGAGCCCTAATCACGGCTTGACAACGACGCGACATGCTTCGTATGATCCTCCGAATATCTTCTTGTGGAATTCGCTCCCATTCTTCAATCAACGCTTCAGTGAGCTGCTGCAGTGTTTGAGGTGCAATCGGACGCTTCCGGATGCGCCTGTCAAGCAAGTCCCAAATGTGTTCAATTGGATTTAGGTCAGGGCTCATGGAAGGCCACTCCATTACACGGATTTCCTGCTGTCGTAAGTAATCTAACGTTATGGCTGCAGTATGCGGCCTGGCATTATCTTGCATTAAAAGAAAATCTGGGCCCATACCATATGCTGCGGGCCAAACATGATCTTCGAGTACATTTTCAATGTAAGTTTGAGCACACAAGCGCCCGGGAACAACGACAAGATCTGTGCGCTCGTCCAAACTAACTCCGCCCCAAACCATCACAGAGCCACATCCAAATTTGTCATATTCCTGGACTGCTGCTGCACTGTATCGCTCGCCTGGGCGTCTGTAAACACGGAGACGACCATCGCAACGTGTTAGACGGAATCGTGATTCGTCAGTAAAAAGCAATGGCCTCCAATGTCGAAGTTGCCAATTAGCGTGATTTTGCGCGAACTGTCGGCGAGCTTGTCTATGTTGAATTGTTAGACGCACAACCCGAACTGGTCGGCGTGATCTCAAATTGGCTTCCAACAACCTATTTCTTACCGTCTGGTTGGAAATTTCTACACCAGTAGCCGTCTTTAGTGTATTTTGTATATCTCTTGCAGTTGTGGTGCGGTTACGTAAAGCACAGTTGACGATGTAGCGATCTTGCAAACGTGTAGTTTTTCTCTTTCGACCTTGACCACGCCTTCGTGAGTATTCTCCCGTCTCACGGTATCGCTTTCAAAGTCTGTAGATAACAGAAGGGGCTACTCCTAGATCATTTCCTACATAACGCATAGTTCGACCCTCTTCAAGCAAAGTGATAGCTCGGGAGACATGCAATTCAGTCAGATCTGGCATTATGACCTAAACTCACTCGCTTCAATGAATAACAATACTCAAAAGGCTCACTTCAATTTCTATTAATACTCAAAAGATTGAAAAAAACTACTTAAAATGTGTTTTCTGTGATTAGAAAGTAATGAAAATTCAAAGACGTCACTTTGTTTTTCGTCTACAATGCACATTTTAATTTTTTTTTAATAAAAAAATACAAATTGAATTTTTTTATTAATTGTAGTAATTAACAAATTAACAAGGTAAAAAATAGCGTACAAGTTAATTTAAATCTAATTTAAGTTTAAGCAATAGAAAGGAGAAAAATCTTGTTCCGCTAATTGTTTTGAGCAGTATAGGTTCCACCTAGTTCCTCCTAGGGAAGCTCGTTGCTCGATGTCCGAAACCGCTGATATTGAAAGTGATCGCCACCTGATTGTTACCGAATTATGCCTTAACTTGAAATTTAAGGTTATTATTTTATCTAACTATTTTCAGTACTTTTTCGGTTTTTAAATTAAAATCTGAGAAGACAGAGGCTGGGAATTTCATTGCCTGTGAAATAAGCGTTAACTTCCTTTCATTCTTCAAAATCTTTAAATTTTTAATAAGTAACAAACATACAAGTCATACAAGTCAAGTCATAGTCAAACATATATATTTCTAAACGTCACAATAAGTACCAATACTAATTATGTTTTTTAAGGCAATTTCCGTCCTTAACAAAAAAGTATGTTTTTAAGTAAGTTTTTCATATAAAGTTTAGTATAAAGAGGCCGCTGAAAATAAGACATGTTACATCGAGGACAGGACTGCAATAAAGATGTTTCTTCATTTTGGAATATTACTTCTTTTGTCCCAAGGAATCTTTGGTAAGATAAATTTCATTTAATTATAATATCTCTTTTTATACGCAATATTGTGTAGATTTCACACAAATTCGTTCACAATAATTATTTCAGTCTGACGAACAGAAATCCTTAGTGCTGTCTCGTCAATAATTGTCCCTTATATAAATCCCTATCCAATAGAATAAGCTATTCTCATCCCATTAATTTTGCACAAAATTTCTCGTAGCATCGTTTGATTTGCTCAGAAGATATCATAGCTTTAAAATAATTCCGCAACAAATTAATTGAATTCAGATAAACGCGCACGAACCGCGCTGAACATGTAGCCCAATAAAATAAAGTATGTTCACAGGCGAAGTGGACGTTTCGGAAGCTATAGATGGAGACAGCCGAATAATAGGTGGCCAAGATGCCACTCCAGGCATGGCTAAGTACCAAGTTTCAATTCGTGTTCAAAAAGGAAATCAAGATTTGCACAATTGCGGGGGATCTATTATAAATCAACAGTACGTCTTAACTGCCGCGCATTGCATTGTTGGGTGAGTACAATTTTTCATTCCTATTTAAATTTCATTTAGTTATATTCGATAGCTAAAATATTACACATGTACTTGCTTCCTCACACCGAGTCGTGATGATCCCGACCCTGGTGTGGCAGATGACGACAAGCCGTTTCCATTTACTTCTACTTTAATAATTTAAAATGTGTTTAAGTCATCATTTCAAGTGGGACGACGAACTTTAATGATGATATAATAACTAATAGGTGGCGTCCCAACGTGATGTCTATAGTAGTTGGCAGTCACCAGATTAAATCAGGTGGCCAGCGTTACAAGATTAAGAAATTGATGCCTCATGAACAGTTCTCAAAGGTGACAGCGAAGAATGACGTAGGTGTCATACAAGTCGAAGGCAGCATCCAATACAACAACAATGTTCAACCAATTGGGTTGTCCAACCGTCAGGTACCCGTTGGAACGACATGTCTTTTGACCGGTTGGGGATTAGTAAACAAAGTGAGTATATTAATTGTGTCATACTCTTCCAACGAGAAATAAGTATTGTTTCTCCGGTATCAGCCGGTGATAAAGTGAAGATATATGGTACACAAAAGCCTAGTGACCATATACACTGTTTTAAAATGAAATTTCGCTATTCGCCTAAAGGGCCTTTACAGCACAGCTCGTTTTGGCGAGCGTAGCTCGACCGGAATGGACTTTTACCCACAACTAGAGTGCAAGAGCGTCTCCTGCGAGACTCGGACCTCAGCTGGGGCCGTTGCGGGTCAGTCAATCGCCTGAAGGGCAGGACGGAATTTTAATTTTGCTCTGCCGCGCGGGCCCGATTATATATCCCTGGGAATAATTGTGAACGATATTCGAGAACTTTCTGTAGAAGTGGCATTGAGTAGTTGATATTCTATACTTTTTGCGCAATTTCAAAACGTACATGCTCTTTATCCCTCTCGAACATCACTCCTTCCTTGTCGTACGGCATTTAAGAATATTTAGTCTAGCTTCCTTCTCTTTCGTGTATTTTGTCCGTCTCTGTCCGACACCTAGAATGTTCCTTTATCGAAGGGGTATAACCAGTCCTAAAAGCGCCTGAATACGGGTTGTAACAGTCCTAGGAACTGTACCAGATAACTACGCTGGCTCTGAAGCAACCTAAAAATGCCATCATCGCAATGGTCATTTTGGGCATCTGAAAACGAGGGTAACTTTATGTAAATTTAAATTTTCTAGTATGTGTCCGTGCCTATCTTCTAGCTGACTGTAAACTTCTTTAAATTGTTTCTAAAATCGAGAAAACATTTAGTTCAACCCGTCTTCGTAACAATATATCAAATTTATATTCATCATTAACAATAAAAGGAGTTACAAAATTACCTTCATGACACGCATTATTTTAACATTTTTAATACGATGTTTGATTACAGGAAAAGAACATTGTTCCGAACAATCTTCAAATGTTGTTTTTCCGAACTATAAGTAATAGCGATTGCACTAGACAACTGTCACGCACGAATAATAAGCCATTTATGCCTATCGATAATGGACAAATCTGTGCTGGGCACCCGGACCACCAAGGCACATGCCAAGTAAGTAAAGTAACAATAAAACTGTGATGAAAAATGACTCGGTGGACATTACAGCTTCTCCATGGAGACCATTCGCCAAGTCGTTTTAGAAACATTGCTGTGTGTGATCTGGTCTGGCGCCTTCTTATTTCTCATAATATTCTCACACATATTCTTTCTCTAACATGTTTTTGTAGGTATCTGATTGCCCCCATGTAACGTGTGATGTTTCAGAACTAAAATGAAATAAATCAAATGTGAATTTTAAATATATTCTTTTGAGATAATATTTAAATTTCAACGTATCTCAAAAAATATGTTGACCTGAATAATAGGAAATTGCTGATGTCAAAACGGCAAGAGTCGGGATTTTTAGATCCGAAAATCAGTGACGTGTTTTAGGAATAGAAGACCGATCGATCACCTACAAACTACGCGTTTGTTTTTATACTTTAATTGTTATTTGACTTCTCTTACAGGGTGATTCCGGTGGGCCCCTCGTTATTAAAGAAGGTAACAATTTTGTTCAAATAGGAATCGTGTCCTGGGGAATTCCTTGTGGCCATAAATATCCTGATGTATATGCTTCAGTCCCTGGTAACTACAATTGGATACAGAGCAAAATTAAGTGATTAAATTGATAAATATGCAATATTGTAACATCTGCTCTAAATATAAGCAGTTGAAATAAAAGTATATTTTATTGTATCTCAAAATTACATTCAACCCCTTATTTAAATAATCAATTTAAAGACGTACACGTACTTCGCTCAGGAGCACCTATGAGCCGTAAATAGCAATAGTAGCGCAGGAAATTCTTTTTGACTTGTCCAGCCTTGGCATTTATTCTAGGTTGAAATTTTAAGTCTAAATTAAAAATGGCTACCAAATTATTCTAAATACCAATACAATATATTATAAATACATATTATATACCTTAATTTGTACGTATTTTAAATTGACGAAACTAACTCGTACAACTTACCACAGAGCATTGATTCAATATGTATAATATAATATTAATTATAAATAATAACCCGGAAGCACTGATTTTACCAGTCTTCGTATGGAATTCGAAACTATATCTAGTGACAAGTGCAAGCAAAACAAGACCAGCGGATATGGATTCGTGACGGAAGAGACCGCTCGGAGCATCCAAACAATCAAAGCAGATTAAATAATTCAAAAAAGGTTTTACTTCAATAAAATGGCTGTTAAGTTAAATGTTACTTGTTGTATCAACGAAAACGTGAAATTAAAATACAATTTTAAATTAAAATTTGCAATTTTATTATTGTCACGGGAATAGCGGGCTTGCTTTTGTCACGGTTAGTGTTCTTTCAAGTTAAAAAATACTAATTGTCGTTTTACAGTGATAAAAGGCGAGTAAATTCAATTTTATTTGGTCTTTTTAGAGTTTGACACTGTAGCGAATCGTAGATACGCACTAAAAATGTACATACTCTTTTGTGTAGTATTTTCTCTAGGATTTTGATGTATGTGTTAACATAAAGATAGGACACTAAGGAAAGAAGAAAACAGACGTCACTCAGACGGACCTTTCTTTTTTTTTTTTTATAAAAGGGGTGCTTACATCCTAGCCTATCAGCCACGCAATCAGGCAGATTTGTGACCGAGTGGCCAAGCAGCAGGGGAGTGTCAGAATCTCCCCTTTCTTAGAAAGGGACATTATTGTCTTGAAGGGTTGGCGTCTCCCGCAGGGCCCGGGCGACAACTACTCCGAAAATACCGTCATAATATTTATAGGTGAGTCGGGTCCCGCTGCCCGGCGACACCCGCGTTACCTCTCGTGCTATTTTTGTGAGTGACATATCTGACAATCTTGTCGCAGAATTTTCCAGCTGCGATCTGTGCCCAAGCAACATGTCGGATAGCCCATCCCGGGATACCCTCATGCCAGTCTCGAGTTCCAGATCGCACCTGTTCCTTTCAAAATTTGCACAGTCGACAAGTAAATGAACCACCGTTTGGTCGGTTGTGTCGTCACAGTCACACGCGGGGCTTGTCTTCAGTGTGAGTCTGTGTAAATAGTGTCCAAAAGCCCCGTGGCCAGTCAGGATCTGCGCCATGTGAGGTGCGAAACGCCTTGTCTTGATTTGTTTGTATGCCGCATTTGCATCTTTAAAAAACATTTTTGTGACTGAGGCTGTTTCGCCCCCCACATAGCGCTCGTTCCAGGTGTCTAAAGTCTTGAGTCTTGTCAGTCGTCGCAAATAGGAAAGCGGATACGCATCGTACCCTATTCGCGTCCCTGTTTCCCCAACCGCCTCCCCCGCGAGAGCGTCTGCCCTCTCGTTTCCCGTAGTGCCAACGTGCGCCTTCACCCAAAAGAGTTAAATTTTAATGCCATTTTCATGGCACTCTTCCAGGTTCTGGCGAATCTCGGCAACTTGGGGATCGAGAGGGGCGATGGGGGCGTCCACCCGCGATGGCATCCAGTGAAGAGCGAGAGTCGCTGAGCCGCATTTCGCCTTCCCTTGGTCAGATATGTCACTGCGTCCCTCAGTGCGGCTAGCTCCGCCTGGTACACTGTACAGTACGGAGCCAGCCTCACCTTTTTATTTTTAATCTCGGTCCCGTCTTGCCACTCAGTCCATGCCGCTCCCACTCCCGCGGACGTTTTGCTCCCGTCTGTAAATAATTCTGTCATAGTAACGTTATCGATTTCTGACGGGTCGTCCAGTTTTTTGTAAGTTATTTTAAGTCTTTTGGCGGGGTGTGGGAGCTCAGTGTATGGCAGTCGCGTCTCTATTGTCTTGTCATATTATGTTACTGTCTTTTTTAACGTTCTCGTGTAATTATAATAATTTAAACTATAGTCGAATTTTTAATTAGACGAAGCTATCTGACAGTAGCTAATGTCACTTAGTAAAATAATGTTGCCACATTTAAAGTAATAGTGATACATTCAGTTCTTGTTCAATCAGATGAATGAACAATGAGTGAGTGTAAATAGTTAATCATTTCAAACTATAAAATAATATTATTAGTATTTTAAAATTGTATAAAAGATTTCTGATATAAGTTAGGTACTAGTAGTATGTAACTACAATCAGTTTTTTGACGGCTGTAATACAAAGCGCGGCATGGATTGACCAGACAGTGTTATCGACTCGCCAGGCCTTCCTAGATAGCCTGACTACTGGCTTAAAACAGCCTTCAGGAAAGGGCAAACGATTAATTATCGGCCACATAGGTGGGAAAGAAGGATTCGTAGAAGACAGCTTACTAATATTTGAAGCCAAAAAAGTAAAGAAGATTATCATCAAGAAATGAATGCCGATTCCTTTGAGAAGTGGTTTAGTGGGGTCTTGCCAAAACTAAAACCAAATTCCGTAGTAGTGCTAGATAACGCCCCCTACCACTCCAGGAAACTAGAATGGCTGCCTAAAATGTCTTGGACTAAACCTAAAATACAAGAGTGGCTAACGAGCAAAAAAATTTCATTCGAAGCAACAATGGTTAAAGCTACTCTTATAGACATTGTACGGCAGCACAAACAAGAACATTTCGAAAAGTATGTTGTGGACGAGATAGCAGCGCAGCTTGAGATAATTGTTTTACGTCTGCCCCCATACCACTGTGAGCTTAATCCCATTGAGTTGGTATGGGCGCAGGCTAAAGGATATTGAACAGCTTGCTAGTTAGTGGACTGTGAAAAGTGTGTTTAAGATTTATATGTATTTAATGACAGGAGTATCTGAATAGTAAATGTAATGTATGTATAAGCAAGCTGCACTAAATGACTAAATATATGAGAGGGTGAGACGTAAGAACCTAACAACCCTACGGATCCCTAAGCCCTACAGACGTACCCTAACACATAAATAGTGAATATATAAATATATAAATAAGTACGGGATGTCTGCACCAAGAGACCTAAGGTAACAGACGGAGCCCTACGGGTAGGATCAAAGGTTCGAGGTAGTGGGATTATCTCAAAGCTACCGGGCAGGCTCACCACGATAATTAAGGGCTTGAAGTAGTCTTCGCCACTTTGAGAGGAAGCGAGAAATGAACAAGACAAAGCAATATTCAAATCTGATTTATTGTTATAAAACAATATCTTAAATACTAATTACACCTATTCACACATACATAATATTTTCCTAGTGAGCTGTTGGTGTATCGCGCAACCTCAGCTATTAAAATATGGAACACATATGATCTGAGTCAACAGCTGATTAAAATTTAAATAAAATATAATTAAAATTGCTCTTCAGCTGTTAATATTTAGCACACATCGAATCCATGTCAGCAGTTCGTTCATGTTCAAATGATGAAATCTGAACATTCTGGCGCCCCACAGAGTCTGCAAAGGCTGGTACAGCTGTAGAGTCTCCTGCACGCGCGATGTGGTGCGTTGTGGAAGCAGGTTGTTGCCTTAGTTAGAATCTTCACTCACGTTCGATGACCGTAGACCCGTCTGTTGTGTTGGCACCGCATGCTGTCTGTTATTCGTGATAATAAAAATAATTAATTTTACTAACGTTGAAATAATCTTGAAATAGTAAAATTCAAATGAAAACATTTTAAAATAGTTCATGTATTTAAAAAATGTGCTGAACAATGCAGTTATTTATTAATTAACTGCATGTTTTTCCCCGCGACACAAAACAATTTTCTTCTAGTCTAGTTAATCGTTTTAATGTTATTTGTTAAATTAACAGCTTTGCTACGTTACATGAAGAAGGCGTTTGTTTATAATTATTAATTCAATGGCTATAGGTAATAAGTATCTATATGTGTTGCGTAAACATACTTGTATTTTCTGCATACGCTTATAAAGTGTGAATAGGTGACATTAAATACTAATTAATATATTATGTAATTTGTATATATAGTTATATATGTTTTTGTTATTAATAAGTCTTGAAGTATAAGTTTAAAATATTATAAACTTGAGTTTCTTCTTCTCCTTCTTCTTTTTATAAATATTATTCTTATCTTGTCTATAAATCGTCCTGCAGCTATCAAGCATTGCACTAATCGTCCATGTGTTTAAGAACGGTGACAATATTCATTGTCTTTTATTTTTGGTTTATCCATTTGGATATGTCGTGTTGTAAATTGTTGTATGGCGGCTGTCGCCCAAGTCGTCGTCTTTGCCTTTTAAATGTATTTGTATTTATTTGTAATGTAGTTGTATAGTTTTGTAATGTATAAATGTATTTGTCAGGCGGCTGTCGCCCAAAAGTATACGTATTTGTATTGTTTTGTAATGTAGTTTTGTAGTTGTCTGGCGGCTGTCGCCCAAATGTATAAGTATTTGTATTGTTTTGTAAAGTATTTGTAGTTTTTATTTTTTATTGTATAAGTAAATATTTTTCATAATCCTCCTAAGTTTTGTCGTGTAGTCGTCTATCTCCTAGCTTCATTTTACGTCTTAATTTAGTATTGAAGTCGTAAGCTTTTAGTAATGGGTACAATTGCGATACATTAAGTAATTTGTTACCAATGTATTCGATGTAAAACCCTGGACCAATCTTCTCAATACTATAAGTTTCTACCGCTATCGTAGTACAAAAAAATTGAAATATTAATAAAAGTGTAAACATGATATTAAATGTCTTTAGTTTCCTATTACACTTGTGATAACAAATTCTTGCCA